ACCATACCCACTCTCTCGACTTCCTTATTGCGAACAGAAAACCTTCTCTGGACATTTAATGTCCTGTTTATGTCAACTTGATACTAAGTCTAAGACCAGCTTCTTCACTGCTATTGAGAATTTTGTGCATCATTCTTTGCAAGTCCGTGCTCGCGCTTCGCTCTCACTACAAACAACCCTTTGATTATAATATAAATTACAAATTGTTTTTATGTTGTTAGAATTTATACGCTTCTCACTTAGAATTCCCATGCCTCACACGATCGAAGCTCTGTTGTAATTTGTAATCCAAAAAACGGACGAAAAGATTTTACTTCACCTCTGTATAAGAACGTTTAAGACTGCATTTCTGAATCCAAACCACCACTATTTTATAATTTTAATAAATAAATTAATAAATTGTATAGTCAATCCAAACTAAAAGTTACTAACACTTTCATATCTCTTTTCTTTACCTGGCAGAACAAGGCTCAAGGCAAAATGCTATGAAGTCGGTAAATTTAATAATGTGGTTCCGGTTCATTTTGGGACCAATTCTAAACTAGAAAATGTCTATTTTTTTAACATCTACATCATAGTATATTCATTCATTCCCTTTTGCCCACTGCTTCATATTTCCAACTTCCGAACTATTCGCAACACTGTAGTTCAAGAGATTTTTTAGGATCTTAAGAGAACGTAATTGTAGTTAGTGCCACCTTGACTTTAAACGAGGTGTATACACCACATTCTCGGATTCATAACAGTGTTCGAAATGCTGGTCAAAATTGTGAAATTACAAAAATATCGAAAAACGTAAAATTTCAATTAAATTAAAAGGAGCTTTTTATTTCGATATCATCAATCGCAAAATGACTTGACTTAAATTGTTATTTTACTTGATATACGATATATGCCTTTAAAAAAAAACACCTCATTATTCATCCCATTGTTGGTGATATTTCCAGAAATATTCTATTCGTCAATTTTAAAGCTTCCTAAAAATCACTCACTCAGTTGAAGACAACGGACATCAATTTCACATTGAGTTTTTTTTTTTAATTTTAAACAAAAACTTCCCTTTCTATGAATCCAGGTTATAAAATTATTTTACATTACAATTTTTGTTCATATCTGTAAACAACAAAGTAGAGAAAACGGAACCTTGCGCATCAACTTTTTGTTTTTTTTTGTAGTTACAGTTTCACAGCTCAATTTTGTATTGGTTCCTCATAAGACTGACTGAGACTGAGTTTTTCTAAATTCGCTACGGTCTTCTGTTTCCGGGCCAAATCAGTCAGTTTATAACTCAGACATATTTGAAATGGCATTCACGCCTACTAGGTAAACAGTGAAAATATTAAGCACGCGATATATAAAGAAAAAAAAAAGCCCATATGCGTGTTGAACCGATTGCTCGGATTGAGTCGAATAAGTCATCGTGGTTGGTATTCCAGAATGGGGTTTCTTTAGCGCCTTGCCGCTTCGCTCCACGTGTTTTATCGATGCCAGAAATATAATAGTCGGGAACACTTGTAATATTTAACTGCGGCACTGAATAATGAAGCAGAGGATCGTTGAGAAAATAATGGGACTCGAGGTCAGCCACCTCTCTGAAAATCGATGTGCCTCCATTTTAACGGAAATAATTAATGCATCGTGGAAATAGCTGGAAAATACTTCAACTGGTCAAAAAAAAAACCAAAGAGGAGAATGCGTTTTGAATGAGCCACCGATTTTATCCAAAAAGTAATAGTGAAAAGGCCCTCGGCATCGATGACGAGAGGATCCCGTTTTTAATATATGAATTTGCACCTTCAACTCAGCATAAAAGTCGGATATTAACAAATAGAAACATGAACGGTGAATATTATCATCTGGCAAGACCGAAAGTAAAACTATTTTTAGGTGACTGACATTATGTTATTCTTTGAGTAAAGTGGGCAAAACGATTATAAAACTATATACGCAAAACTCATTGGAAACTATGAACGATTTTTGTCTTGAATTATTTCCTTGAAGTACGACTTAGTAATTGATGCAAGAACGCGAACAAGGATTTTAAATAATTATTTTGTCACAATGACACAAATTAGAAGTATCATTTCAGGTGTTTCAGGTACATTTTAGCAATGACATTCACACTTTGCAAAAATTTACCCAAAAAATATATCTTCTACTCCCGTCCGTAAAATACCTAATTACACACCGAGTTAGCGTGCGGGAAGCGTCACTTCACCACTTCAGTTTCGTTATCCACGGATCCGAGCCACTTCTGACATTTCCGGGATTTTACCGCACGGGTTTGGGAGCAATCGGATGTTTTCGGAGATATTTCCAACGCCTTGAATTTTGACGTTTTGCACTGGTTGAATAATATACTATTATACAACACGATGACAAACTTCTTCAGACACTAATAAACTAGCACCCGCACCCCGGAGAAATTTTTCAGAATACATATAGTTACTAGAGATTTAGATGTCCTGCATATGTGGATAATACAGGAACTTATGAAGCAACTATGAAAAAAATATATTTTATTTTATATAAAGTCGAATTATTCACTAAAAAATATTTTTTAGAACAATATGCGAGAAGCATCTTTTTCTACTATAAAAACACACGCGTTATTTGTTTTGACAATACCGCCTGAACTGTTCCAATGAAAATTAAAAGAAGTTTGAGTTACTAGTTTTTTTAAATCAAAAAAGTCAGCGTAACTCATTTCTACGATTTTATTAGAAGTCCATCTTCTTTGTGCTTTTTACCAATTTTACGTTCTCTGCGGCGATTACAGACACACTGGGTTATGTGCCGGTTTTCCGCGTAAGATCGTTAAAAAATGCGGGAAATTCAATAGTGGCACTAGCTAGTTTTATGATACAATTAACTAAAAATAGCTATTTTTTTATATGTGCCATTATTGCACCCAGTGAGCGATATTATAAAATCTAACAGATATTATAAAAGGTTTGTTGTAGTCAAACTACAGCCATCCCTGGCATCTCATACCATTTATTTAACTGATACTACACTATGTCGTAATCATTTTTGGCTCTTCAATATCTTGTCCCGATCAATGACCAACCTTTGTTTGTTGAAATGAACAAGAACAATTTGCGGTCAATATATTAGTGCTATTCTATGCAAAAATATATAAACTATTCAATCGTATAACATCTACGCAGTATAAACATCTTCAATCACACTGCACTCCGATCTTGCCAAATCGAACTCGCGACTAAAGTAGCCTTTATAAAACTTTTTGGGAGTTACTATGTCAATTTTCACTACCCAGCTAAACTCGTCGTCAACCTTTTTGATCAGATTTGATAAAGGTGGTAAAATGGAAGAAATAAATTTTCAAACGTCAATATTTTGAAAAATAAAACGCTAAAATTGCTGCATGAAATAGAGTTTCTAAATGAGCTCACTCAACTCCTCGTTGGATATAAGAATTTCAAGATGAGGTGGCTCCGAGAGCAAGGGTAAAAGGAGGTGCAATAATTTTCGCTCAAAAATTGGTCTAACGAAAAAACTCGTTTTTGAATTTTATCGAAAACTTAATTTCAAATTAGAAATTAGAATTTTCTAGAGAATCCTAAAATGTAAAAATGTATAAGGAAATTTCACTGACAATAATAATATCGGTGCCAATTTTTTGTCCATTTCACTTTTGTAGACGCATGTTAACAGAAAACAGTTCCCGGCGCTCGCAGCCCTTACAGGGCATAGGTGCATATACGAAGCCAAGTTGTCCATTCTATTTTATTAAATTTTATTTTAACTAGGGAATACATAACTAACACAATTGTTTATTCACATTGATTAAGAGATTTTAATATTTTCATCTAAATTTTAACCAATTTATCAAAAATTTATTGAAATAATTGCTTGTATTCCTATGGTAGAAAAAATGTATATCCATTTTGGGCTGAATAGAGCAAAATTTGGTATGAAATAGCAATATTATTCTCATAGATTTCCGTTTTAATTTTATTACCATATATTTCCCAAATTTTTCTCGTGTTTCCTCGTATTTCCCCATATTTTCTCCGTATTTTCGCAAAGGAAGGCAGGTATTTCCTAGACGGCTTGCCCTTGGAGTTAACCAAAATAATTTAGTAGTAACAGAAACGAATTTTTAAGTAAAGTTTCGGTAATTCTCCAAGTAATTCAGTTTTCGTGCTTTTTAAACGAAACGTGTAAATCCCTTGGTAAATTTCAAGATTTTTCACTGTCATTCTTGACTGACGGCGCCTGAGTGAGGGGTAACTGTCAGCTTATACAAAACATCGAGGGAGGGTTGAATTTCCACGTCCACGTTAGTAGATCAATAGGTATCTAATCGTGTTGCATATAATTTATAATGTAAAAGTCAATTAAGTTACACTTGTTATAATCCTTCTTAATAATTGATGTTTTGACTTTTAACAGACCAGTGAATACAAAGATTTTAGATCACTTGTTTAAACCACTAACCAATCAGCGTAAAAAAATGTAAATTGCCATATTAACATTGTTAAACACATTTGGATTGAGATTTTCATAATGTAACCTGTTGATTACTTTTGTAAGAACATGTATTTAATGTTAAAAGTCATTTTTTCATAAGTGCGCATGATAAATTAAAAAGAAAGGTAGCTTAAAATCTCTGAAACTTAAAAAAAAATGTATTCTCTATTTGGTTAGTAAAAAACGGCGAGGATATATTCTGACTTCGCTCTGCACAAAACTTATCAAACTATCGAAATTTTCAGAAAACGAAACTTCTGCAGTTGAATGTGAGATTAGTTGGTTCGACTCTCCTCGGCGTACATTCTCCGCAATAATGACGAACTGGGAGAACAGAAAAAAAATCAAACATCCTGAACAAAACATTTTCTTCCAAAAACACAACACTGACCAAGTCTACGTTTGAAAAAAACACTTATTATTTGAACTATTTATTGTCACCGTCCTAGAAATAACAACACCGACAACACCAGCTGTGCAAAAAACACGTTATAGATACTTACTTTACAGCCGACGATAAAAAGAGGCGTTCCTTCCTCAGCTAACCCACGAAATACTTATTCGTTAGAACTTTGTAATATTAATTACGCAGAGATCATCTTCCTACGACGTATCCCAAAGTCAAGCAAAGTCACGATTTTACACGAAAAACTATACCACCGATGGGCCACCTGTTCAAGATAACAACAAAAACATTTTTACTACATTACATAATCCGAAAAACACCAAACTAGCCATCGAGTAAGCACCTAAACACACCGAAAACGTATACAATTCATCAATAGCAAGACATGTTACTAGTTTTTCTCTTCAAGAAATCTCGACAAATCCGTGAGATAACGAGACGCGAAAAACAATTGCCAACAAACGCCAACTGCGTACGTTACTCTACGCGAGTATCCAGAGCCTACTAAATTCACCACAAAACAGTGAACAGAGAGAACACAACCGGTCTTCTGAGTGTGCTCTGACTCATCGCGGCGCTGCCAATTCAACACGTTTGAAGTAAAAACTAACTACTTCCTTACGGGGTGATTATCGATTGGCGTTTGAAACTCCGGCCGCCTTATTGTCATAAGCGAAAGGGGGACAAAAAGGTCCAACTAAGGTACGTTAACAATTGATGATTTTGTCGAGTTTTTGCTTGCATAATTCACGTACGACATTCTGGAAACAAAGGTCCACTGGAGAATTTGTATCTACATAAAAAAGTAACACAACGATTTATCTTCTAAGGTGCAGCCAGCTTTGACGATGCTAATCGCAAGAAATATTAAAACGCAAGCAAATTTCAGAGACATATTACGTTACTATTTGTCATAATCTTTCTATACCGGGTGAACACAAACAAGTAGAAATGCGCAATATTTATTTAACAGCAACTTGAAATTCTTCTATCTATATTTTTTATACCGTTGGGAAAATATCTGAATTTGTACGGTTATCTTCCTATCTAACCACGTAAATGCTGATAATTAGTTTATTTTTTGACAGATTTATTTAGATTATTTTAGATAACTCAATTGAAGATGAAGAAGAAAATAATTCAGAAATTCTATTTGGAACAAATCTTCTAATTTTCTCGATTCTTCTAACTTAACTAACCTAAAGTTGATTGGATTAGTTAATGATTATATCATTATCAGCATAGGCACGGCCATCATAAAGAACAGACAATATTTAAACTCTAGATACCACACACCAACATATGATAATTGCCTCACGCAAATATAGGTTGTTTCGGACATACAGGGCGTTCAATGTTTAAAGTTTGTTCTGAATTTTCTTATTAATTGAGAAAGTTTTTATGGAATAATAAAAATTGACTGTTTTGGGTTTTTTGAGATGAAAATGCGTATTTTTTTGTCTGTCAAGTTTTATTTGAAACATAATGAAAATCAGAAAGAATGTTCAATTGGTCATAGAAAAGGTTCTCTTGTTTAGATCGTCTAACCCTGTCCATTTTTGACTTATTTGAAAAATAGTGACACAAGAAAATAGCAACATCATAAATTTGAGTGTATTTTTAATCACTATTATTGTAAAATATTATTTTTTTATTGTTTCCCGCACCTAAGTATTGATAAGAAAACATAAAAAATATCGTGAATTCTAAATGCAAATACGTCAAAAACCAGAGCTGGGTGATGAAATTAATACGGTGAAACTAGCATCCTCTAGGAGCAACGTCTAAATAAGTTACAATTTCGTAAATATTTTGTCAAAAAACCAAAAACTGCCAATTTTGGTAGCATCTCCAATATAGAGATTGACCATTCTTCATGAATCACCCTGTATATCTAGCATCTATATGGATGCAACTAATTAGTTGCATATAAAATAAAAAATCGAGATTGCCTTATCTTATCGAAATCTCAGGCGGGTAATTCTCAAATTTGAAGTGAATCTACAGCATAGGATAGGTTGATGATATATACAAAGTAGGTAAACATATATTTTCTACAAATTTCTCTTTCAATTTCGCGTTTAATTAATAAGGGAACGTCTTATTTATATTCATTACCCGTCAGCAAAAATTCAATACGGGTTCAATTTGGAAAAGCGTTCATTAGAATCCTTTATGAGACATAAAAGGCTGAGATAAAGGAAAACTTCGATAAAAATGCGGTCGTGACTATCTCCGCATGGGGGACGAATCCTTTAATAAATAGGAATTTCCCTCATCTTTGGGGAAACTTGCTATCCGAAACAAATTTTTGGTCGATTAAATTTTCAATTTGTTTTTCAGTTCGTCATACTTCAAACGTTTTCATTGCTTTTTATCTTTTCTTTCTTGTAAATGCGGAAAATGTTTCAAGCGCAGATATTTTTGTGCAAAAACATTTGAGTGGAAGCGAAAAGATATGCTTGTCCAAAATGGCGCAGACTTACCTACACAGTGTCGTAATTTCAAACCAGTTTCCTCCTCTTTACTGCTAAACGTCGCTTATTAAAACATTTTCGAGGGACGCTCGAAAGGCTTTCCGATTATTTAAGGAGAAAATGATGTGCCAAGTGCACTAAATGTAATTAAATTGAACAGCCTCGAAAGGTAAAGCCTGTCAGTTCGTTTATCGTGATAAAAGATGACGGCTCCCCGCATAACTATCTTCTGGTAATATCTTTTGGCGTCGAATTGAGAAAATTAAGTTTAGAATCGGCTTTTACGGAGAAAGTAATAAATAGTTGTTTAATTAATTTAAGCATTTATGTTTGGGCAACTGTCATGAAAGGTATCGTTTTTCTAAGGTACAAATTGCTCTACCAAAAAAAAACACCTTTGAAAATACTAGAACTCGGTTGCCGAAAACAAAAATCATAAAAATTGATAAAACGTATTGTTATGAATTTTTTTTACACCCTTTGATCGCTATAAACTAAACCAAAAAATCAACACTAAAGAAAATGATGAAAATTACCTCCATCAGCTTAATTGTCCTTAAGTTACCCGAACGAACGTGGATTTTCGTACAGCCGGTTTTTTTAATGTTGAATATGACGGTGCATTTATGTTATTATTCGTTTTCTTCTTTTTTTTGAATGACGAATCGCTAATCGAATACGGCAAGGAAAAGTTCTTGAAAATTAATATAGCCATTACGTTTTAGCAACGAAAGACCTTTTAAGCGGCGTAGAAATTTCATTTGAAATGAAACTCCTAAAATAGCATATTATGCAACAAGTGCGGTAAACGGCATTTAACTCACGAGTTTATTTGACACGAACGGAGCGTAGCGGAGCGAGTTTTTAATAAACGAGTGACTTAAAAAGTTTACCGAACGCGTTGCATACTATACTTTTTCTACGACCGTTAGTTTTTGGATACATTTTCGTAAAACAACACGAATACATTCACTGACATGACCGTCAGAATTGACAAACGTCAAAATTCAAAGCGTGGGAAATATCTCCGAAAACATCCGATTGCTCCCAAATCCGTGCGGTAAAATCCCGGAAATATCCGAAGTGGCTCGGATTCGTGGGAAAGGAAACTGACGTGTTAAAGTGACGCTTCCCGCACGCTAATTCGTAATTCTTAATATCAATTGTTTTATTTGATATTATTTCGTGCAATTTCACAATACTGTAGGTTGTATCAAGGCATCATGTGTCGATGGCTGTCTGTTATTTGCTTTTTTTTGGTTTACTGGAGTAGACACATGACTTGGCATATTTACAAAGAAAATAATTCTATGGCGTCAAATCGAACAGTATTTCCTATAAAAAAACATCTAAAGCTCCCTAAACGCGCAAACAGATTCGAAAGCAATGACTATTTTTATCTCAAATTTTATTACAAATTGGGATTGTACACTAAATTCTAAGTTTGTGGAAACAAAAATTACATCAGTTTTTAGACAACAAGTAATACCTAATAAATGAGAGAATAATATATACGTTCATTACCGAAATAGCATTTTTTTTACTTAGAAAAAATATTACTGCAATGAGATATTTTACTTACAACATAACCTTTTTTTTATATGTACAGCCCTGTAGTTAATTAGATTTTCAAATAGAGCCGCCAAAGTTCCACATAATCATTAGGTTAATGCCAGATACCCGACCAGAGAGATACAAAATATTTCCCTGTTTAGAAAGACCACTCATATAAAAGCACTTTCTTAACAAATACCGCAAGTAGAAGAAATTGTTAATAACAAATAACTGAAGTCCTGAAACTCTATTCTATTCGTATTCTTATAATATTATTAAACGGTATTAAAATGCGCAAGGATGATGAGAAAGTTCCTATTAGATCAGTGTCCATCATCACAAAAGAGATTCTAGAGATTGTTTAGCATAAAGGTGGCTCCACCTACCTACCGTTCCTCACCGGCATATTGGATTGGATACGATAAATAAAAGGAATTTAAATAATTTCATCTGTACATTTCGGCAATTTAGTTTTAGCGAGATTAAAGTTTCGCATAGCTTCATACATATTTCATCTATGCACTAAGCGTTCCTTGGCTGTACTGCCGGCGCGTCAAGATGCCGAGCTATTTCGTGAAACAATGCACCGGCAAGAAGCTCTGCCGATTTACTTAGACTTGTCCTATAAACAATAGGAAATTACCATATTTTAACTTTAGATCTGCATTGGCGTCCCTTGATAAAACCACCTTACTTAACGTAAGAAAAAGGGTCTTGTGCAAATGTGCTTTTCTACTGTTCCGCACATATCAGAAAGCAATACATATAATGAATACATTAGGAAAATTTTGTTAGTAATGTAAGAGGTACCAAAAAGGCAGACGATTACCGCTATTTATATTCCGTTAATGTTAAGATCTAAAAAATATCTAACCAATAAAACAAAATGATTTAAAATTCCTTTTCTGCCTGATGGCGGATGTGTCTACTTAAAAAAAAATAATAAAAATCCGAATCGAGATTCAAAATTAAAGAACAAAACATTAAAGATATTGTGAAATTATTATTACAGGCTAACTAATACGGAAATATTATACCTAAAAAAAATGACATACGCATAAACTCAACAAAATACTTCTTTCTACATCAGCACAAACACAAAAAAACCGGGCTCACTAATAATGAGATTTATAAAAAATATAGGACTTATATTCTCGTTAATTAATGATTTGATTGTTAAAAAATCACTTTTTAATGTGATGGAGGCTAAACTTTTCTATATGGCATTAAATTGTCAAGTAACAACCTTTCTAAACAGTTTTGTTTGTTGTTCACTTCAATATTCTTCAATTTGGACTTATTCATGTAACAGATATATTAATTTTGAAAAATAAAATTTTTTGAAACTGATGGTTGGACGAAATTTTAAATTCTATTTTGAACTGTCCGAAAATATAAAACATAAATAACTAAAATCGCAATCGCTTTTTTTTTCCTTAACGTCATCTGCAAGTTTCTGATTTTCCAAAGACGTTAGCAACTGACAACTAAACAGTGA